TCCTCTTCCACCCTTCCTTTTACCTCTATGAACCAGTTCCTAAACCCTCCCCCACCTTTCCCCATTCTACCACTGACATAGACCTAGTTAGCCAATACAGTGAAGTCTGCTTAAACTGAAACCTGCTGGGTCGTGGCAATTTTCTTCCATTTAGCCGTGTTATTGGTTCAAAGAGATTGCTCAGGTAGTGAAGATAAATATTTGGAAATTACAGTACAACACGGATAGGTCGAACAGAGAAGATTCAAAATCCCGCACCCGTCGAACTGTGCCTGCTGTCCCACGTTTTTTTTCTTCTCTTTTTCTTTGTAAGATATCCCTCGCACTACGGATCCCTCAAACTTCCGAGGCCGGTCTCGACGATTTCGAGCTATTCTTGTTATACTGTATACTTTTTTTCCGGTTCCCACTGTTTTCGGATCATCACTGCGCTAGCAAAATAGTATAACTCACAGCTGTGTCAAAATGCAACTAGCCTTTTATTTTGTTTGGTGGTGCCATATCTATCTTTGGTGAAATCAAAACAAAAACGCGCTGACAGTCACAAGAGAAACATGCATGGCAAGTGTTACCATTCTTAGATGATCATTAATAGTCTAGTTAAATAGTTTTATTCCTTTATCTCAAAAGTAGCAAAAATGAGGTGTCCTATTTCGCTAACGCAGTGACAATATTCCGTTTAAGTGACGATATTGACAATATTCCGTTTAAGTGACGATATTGACAATATTCCGTTTAAGTGACGATATTGACAATATTCCGTTTAAGTGACGATATTGACAATATTCCGTTTAAGTGACGATATTCCGGTCTCGACGAATTCGAGCTATCCTTGTTATACTGTATACTTTTTTTCAGTTTCCCACTGTTTTTGGATCATCAATGCGCTAGCAAAATGGCATAACACAGAGCGGTGTCAAAATGCAAAACTGGTCTTTTATTTTGTTTGGTGGTACTATATCAATCTTTTGGTAAAATCAAAACAAAAATGAACTGACAGTCACAAAAGAAACATGCATGGCAAGTGTTACCATTATTAGATGATAATTAATAGTCTAGTTAAATAGTTTTTTTCCTTTATCTCAAAAGTGGAAAAACTGAGGTGTGACATTTCGCTAGCGCAGTGACGATATTCCGTTTAAGTGACAATATTCCGGTGACGATATTCTGTTTTAAGTGACGATATTCCGTTTAAGCGGACTCCACTGTAATACGGTTTCTCATCTCCTGTTTTTCCTCCCCACTGCCCCCTACACATGGCCGTTCTGTCCGTGTTCGTTGATGCTCCGTGACCGCCCAAAGCTCATGCCAGTCTGGGAGGCTCCCTTGTTGGTTCCCATCTGTAGACCAATCACGCCCTGACCAGCGTTGAGCTTCTCTGCGGAGAAGTTGCGAGGGTTCGAGTCTGCCTCCTTCGCTCCTAACGTTGGGCCAGGGTAGCCGATCTTCTGGGCCTGCAGATATACAGAGGAATGTTGTTTCTTTAATACACACAATCCAAAGTTTCTTTGCTTCTTTAATACACACAATCCAAAGTTTCTTTGATTCTTTAATAGACTTTGTGTCTTTAATAAACATGATTCAAAGTTTCTTTGTGTCTAATAAACATGATTCAAAGTCTCTTTGTTTCTTTAACATACATAATCAAAGTCTCTTTGTGTCTTTAATACACATGATTCAAAGTCTCTTTGTGTCTTTAATACACACGATTCAAAGTTTCTTTTGTTGATACTAAAAAGATCTGGTGGAATGTTTTTATATAAAGATGTACATCTACATCTTTTTATTAAATACATTTTCTTTGTTTTGGTGATTGGAAAAAACAAAGATTGTATTGTGTGTAGAGATGCCATTCTTATACACACGATACAATCTTTTCTTTTTCCATTACCAAAACAAAACAAAATATATTTGATAAAAAAAATTGTACCCTTTGTGTTGCTGTGATATTTCACAAAGCTTACCACATACACACATAACTTCATTTACATATACAGTCAGACAAATAAACATGTAATAAAAATGTATAAGTCTACTTGTTTTTATTCACTTTACCAAAAAGAACTCCATCTATCAATAGAATTAAACTGTAACATAACAACAAATCCAACAAACAAATAAAGAATAGTCTTTCTTTCACTCACCTTTCTTCCTAAAGCGTAAATGCCGTTGATCACCTGGACCATGTTGACTTTGTCGAAGAGGTCCACCGTCTGGAACAAATCTGTCTTGGAAACTCCTAAAGCCTCGCAGCCTTCCAGGAATTTGCTGATGTTCTCCATTTGCAAGAAAGGCATTTTGGACGTGTTCGTTTTTTTAATGGCACCCGGTTTTATTTTGTTTAACAAACTGAGGAGAGAAACAGAACAGGAAACATAAAAACAAAACTTTGAAGGTAGGAGGTTTTTGGGATTTTTTCGTTAGAAAGTTTTACAGCACTTGCAACACAATAAGGTCATATAAGTGCCTAAAAATAGATGTGTTACAAGAGAGTAACATACACTCAAAAAAGGAGGAGGAGAGATAAGGACGACAGATGTTTGATAGGAAAGAAGGAGCAGCTGACCACACCAGAGCACCCGTCAACCACCCACAGGGGGAAGTTTGCAGTGTTGAATGAAACATTTGGTTCAGTATAGAGAGTAAATAACGGTATTCCAATACATTGCTATAAAATCACTTGTCTGTTTTGTTTTGTTTTTGTAAAGGGTTTTACGGCGCTCGCAACTGCAAGGTCATATGAGCGCGCAGGACACACCTAATATTTTCAGTTGGTAGGAAATTTTGAATTTTGCCCGGGTGGCGGCCGAAGCCTACTCTTATCGATTTTAGACCACCAAGGG